TCCGTGGACCAGAAACCGCCGAGATCAATGCTGTCCTGAGACCATCCGGCTAATACGGCGGGATCGGGTGTTACCCAACGGTTCCGGGGATTCTGCGGCTTGTAAGATAGATTAAGAGAAATAGGCAGCTATAGACGGGAATCATGAGGCAGTCGGCCAGTGAGAACAGACAAGACTCACCGTAGGCATATGTGAAAGATCCGGACTGTGCTTTTGAGGGAGATCGAACGTGAGTTGTCCTGACAAGGCGGGATGGTTTCCGACGTGATCATAAAGAGACAATTCCCCGAAGCAATTTCCAACAACAGTCACCCCGAGTACATCATCGATATCGAAAACCGGAAACGCCCATAATGCAGACTGCTCTGTGCCGTCTTTGCTCCACGCAATCGGAGGCACCGCTTGAGCAGGAGGGTGTGAAGGGATGCGTACGGTTTCAAAATGCGGACCGATCCTTCTGCTTGTCTGGCTGGCCGACAACCAAAAACATTGCTCGCCACCGACGCACAGTCTATACCATGGAGCATTATTATGAGAGACGTTTTTCTCGGGTCGCGTTGCGACTGTGAACCTCGGGCATACAGGTTCGTCGTCTATCTCCGTTAGAACATCTACATCGATCAGACACATCTCAATGCCGATTGCAGAGACGACAAGGAGGCGTAGCACCGACGGTTCCGCGGGGTAGTTGCCAACAGCGGCCTCCCAGATGGCAGGCACGTTAGCGCGTTTGACGAGATCGAGATTGTCCTTGGTTACGGAGGGAAGAGTGTAGAGATGAAGGGATTCCGTCCTGACGAGTACCAGCGTGTTTTTTCGGATCGCCATGAGATGCGGAACGCTCTATGAAACGATGTGAGTCGGTGAATGCAAGATCAGGAGGACAACGACTCACGCGTTCACCGAGAATATCCGACTCGGGAACGAGATGTATTTTATTCTCCTTCCATTTTACTATGTGCGGAACAATTGTACCCCCACGCAAAGCGCATCCCAAGAAATCCCCAGACAACATCAACACATGAGAGGAGCCGTCGACGCGCGCAAGTTCGGAGAAGACGTGAGCGTCAGATAATTTCCGTAACGTTATAACATGTACTGCTTGCGATCTAACAGACATAAGTATGACATAAGTATATTTGAGAGAACGCGACAAATCCACGTACTCGGGGCCAAGGCCGAGCGCTAACACGATTCCTGAGTCTTGGACCTCCAACTGCCCAGTTTTGACTTGACCGGGAAGATATGCCTCGGCAAGAGGCTCGTGGTGACCCCTGAAGATGGAGCGGACGTCCCAGCAAGTCAGTTTGCTGATGTAGTTGTCGGAAGACGCGACGAATAGCCAGGTTCCGGCAACGAGACGCAGCCAAGTAATGGATTGAGGGAGACGGAGCTGGTAATCGCGAACCGGAGAGAGATTTCGCGTTTTCCACTTCGCGTCAAGACGTGCCACTCTGCAGGCCAGAGTTTCGAGGGCGGAGGCTTCGAGACGTTCGTACCCTCCAAGATACGATAGCAGACTGCCGTGCGCATATGGGTGCCGTTTGAGCACATCATTCCATAGCATTCTAGCCCGGGTCGCTCTACTCAGTGCGCGACATGTCTAACAAGACAACTTGAGATTTTGATTCTGCAGCCCAAATTTCAGATTCCTTACCTGTCTGAGGCGTAGAATATCTTCTACACAGAGTTCCGAGCATATATCGAGAATAAGTTCTTGAGGCAGTAGCGGCAGAGCCATGAGCAAGATTCAGGTGTGATGGTGGAGGTTCGTAAAGCGTTAAGAACGTTACTGTCACAAACAACCGGTGACTTAGACCGGTCACACTTCAGCCGTTCAAGGACCACACTTGGACCACACTCTGACGCCTCAACCCAACTATTTTGACGACCCCCAGTTCAAATTCATCTTCATCTCAGTTAAAAGTTATGAACATCTCAAGCACGAATCTCGCCCCCCTCTGAAAATTGGCGACTCCCGACTCTTCGGAGTCCGGTTCTGTGTTCTATGTGATTCCCCAGGTTCCCGACCCGCGCTTGCTTTGTAGTTGCTTTGGTCTACAATTGTTCTGTCAACATGCACATTGTTCTTCTCCCAAAGGGCTTAGTTCTCCCACGTGAACCGTCTAGCGCATAGACTACTTATATGTGGGTCCATGTAGGTGCCTTCATATCAAGACGCGTGAAGAAAAAACTGACTTAACCACTGTGACAGCCCATACTACTGCGCATGTAGGCTCACAAAATACAAGACCGCTCAATATTGAGTGGCTCAAATGCGTTCGCAAGTTATTCTCAGAACGCTTTGTCTTATCCAAGCGCAGGCTTCTGGGTGATCAGTGTGACTGACTCAGATAAAAGTACCGATGCCACCCATGAAGTGGACACAATATATAAGTCAAAACAACACTCCGCCGGCTGCTTCGCTTCATCTTCCACCTTTTACCTTTTACCTTTCAATCCCTTCATTTTTCCATCTTTCACATCTTTGTCATGTCCCTCCACCCCGAGACTACGACTGTCGCAATCAAGTCGATTCATGATAATATGGATCTCAGTTCTATCATGCCGGACATGGTCGGTGTCTTCAAGTTCCTGTTTGTCGCTTCTCATGGTCTGTCGCCATAGATCCTGGATTATATGAGAGATCGCGCTGAATCTACTCCCTTTTCTAACGACCCCGAACGCCGCTCCCTCATGGACATCGTTGACCGCTGCATGTCAGTCTCCAACCATTCTTACACTACTTCCGTTGATGGAGCTTGGTCACAGCGAAGAGGGTCAGAGTCGCGTGCTTTCACATTCGAAGCCCGGAACTGTAGAATCGGTCACAGTGACCACTTCTAATGGTGTTCGAATCGAGCTCAGCGACTTCTACAGCTTCCTAGGTCAGTGGCTTGATTGTTATCTCGTATCAAATAGACCGACATCGCGAATAGCTCTACTCGTTACTGAGACCGATCCGGTGGTCTTCCGCAAACGTCCTACTAGTACGGATGAGAGAGATCTCATCCATCATCGTATGCTCTTTACATTTGCGAAGTGGATGGACATCTGCGCCAACGAGTTCTTCAATGAAACTGCGCCACCTACAGCATGTCTCATGTATGTGGATGCCCCTGTTGAGCAAATCTCAGCCACGACTCCTCGCAGCCCCCGATCAGATGCTGCGGGACCTTACAGATACTGGTTGCGCACCGCCATCTTTCCCAACCTTGCTAAAGGCCACTTTCACCAGGCAGGGCCATTGATACAGCAGACCAATCTTCGTACCTTCATACCTGACGGTCCCGACTTCGGAGGAAAATCCTCACTGCAGCTGATTGGAAAACACATTCAATTCGCCGACTGTTCAGAAACGCTTCCTCTGATATAGTACGCTTGAGTATGCATTTGCCACCTGTTTACATTCACTGAAATCCCGACGTAGTTTGCTCAACCCCAGGCCCACGAGGAAAAAGCTTTATCTAAGGGGAATGACGATTGATGTCACGCAAGCTGTCTTTCTCCCCCACTTCGATTACTATGCAGTCCGTGGCCATCTCAAACCCGCTTGTAATAACTGTGTGTATATGCTACGTGCAATCGGCACGCATTTGCGAGTCCCAGAGGCTCCGAACAGCATTCCACTTGCCTATCGCGACCAGGCCCCAACCGCGACCGCTCAATTCCTGCCGGAGAAACCGAACTGTTTCAAGTTCTCCTGCCCGACCAAAGGTGCTTACCAGGAATTCGAATGCAAGAACTGCAGGTTGCTGTGGTGGTGCTGCGAGGAGTGCAAAGACAAGTCGATGGAGCAGCATTTGACTTATTGCCGACGTTTCCATGTTTGCGCCCTTCCAAAATGTCTCGCCCAACGAGTCCCTAATCCGTGTCCTCAATGCAAGAAAGTCGCTGGACGGATTCCGGCTTATTATTGCAACGGCAAGCATAGAGAAGCAGATTTAGAAAATCACAAATCGTGGTGTGAGGATGTGAATAACAAAGGTCCGGTGCCTTCACTTCTCGCTGCAGGGTACACGGTGCAGATCTAGATGCACTAGATTCAAGTTGCAACCTGAAGTCATTCACATAGATTCACGATTCCCTCAAGCTTTCCTTTATTTTTCTCATTGACATTCACACGTGGCACACACTCCTTATCTCTTTACAACTTTGTCACTCGCTCATTACTTGTTCCTCGCCCGCGTTTGATACGCTCCACACTCCTTCACCTCTGTTTCTAACGATTGCATGTAGTCGCATTACGAGCTTTCATGACTTATGAATGGAATGTGTCGACCATGTACTTCCTGAGCGTGAATATGTGCTACAATTATTGCTTCCAGGAACACCGAAATTCCGAAAGTTTCCATAAACGGATGCGATGGGTTGTTTGTTGCTGCTTCAAGTTGGCGAGACGTTTCCCCCTCCAAATCTTGTGGATGAGGAGCAGTAGATCACGATGAACCTCGCCAAACCACATAATCAACAAACTCACGGCAAATTGTATTTGCGTGGACCTTTCTCGTTTTTCTGTTCCACTGAGACTCGGTAGCGCCTGGCGGCCTTGCTTGATCCACATAGCGACATCGTCGCACATCTCAAATGATTTGCTTCCTCATGAGTAAGTGTTGGCGCTGTTTTGAATTGGCGAGGTACATACTGAATATTTGTCGACAATAGTTTCCGAGTTGGCGCCGGATACAGATGCCAAGGAAGCGGACTATTGGAATTTTGAGCCTGCTGAAGAGGATTTGGAGTGGAGTGGGCAGAAAGGGAGATGGAGATAGATTTTTCGATTCATAGCTTGGAATTCTGAGCATTGGTAGAGAACTCCTTGGATTACAGGTTGACCGTACCGCGCGTGTGATCTGGCTTCTTATTATTATGATGCGACTGTATCATGAATCTACATGATCCCAGGCCTGGGGCACCCTATATTGGTGATGTTTTGCTTGGAAGTTGGAGCTGTGAAGCGAAAATAAAGAGCGCAAAATGCAAGGAAACACAAAAAGTTATTCCGGATCGGGGAATCGAACCCCGGGCTGCCGCGAATCCGTCCGGATTCATGTTGGAGTCAAAGTTTAAATCCTGGTTGAGAGGCGGCAATGTTAACCCCTACACCAATCCGGAGTTGTTAGACGGGTAGCGAACATGTATATATTGCGCTAAAAGTACTAAGTCCACGCGAAATTCGGACTTGGTCAAAATTCGAGGTTCTTGAGCTTTTTAGAGGTCCAAGGTAATGTTGATGCGAGTATTGATGATGTGACCGTGTCGGAAAGCTCCTGAGTTCCAGTCTTGGAGGTGTCTGTGACATCCTGACTCCTATTCTTCACTGGAGCGGTAGAACAAAGTGCAGTTTCGCTGCAATTTCCCGTTCAACCCGATAATTCATTGTCCCATCAGATTTTAGGTGGGTAGCTTTTTATTCATAGCTACCCATCTTCTTCAAACATATGTGTGAATGCAATAATATCCCAGCAGCGCGTTGAGTGCGGGGAACGATGAGGAAGTAAACCGGAACCTTTACACGTGACCGCGTCATCTTCCATTCCGCCAATGTGACATATGACCCTGTCACACCCATCACTCTCCTCCAGCCGGGCGCGATTGTGTGATTGAAAGTTCGGTCATTTCTCTCCTCTCCGTTGACCCACCAAAACTGAAAATGCTTCGCCGTGCAGTGGAGGATATCTCGACGGGCTCGGATTCAGATTATTCTAGGTTGGTCTTTCTCGTCGTCGCCGTTCCACCCGTTCTCCTCGTGGCTCACTACCTCGTTCAATAGCACGGTGAGCTTCGCTTCAAGAACTCATGTTGTTCTCCAACTGAAACGAATATGTGCGACGTCTAGTGGATCTCGTGGTTCCTCTCCTCTAAAGGCAACGAGTACTTCTGCGAAGTCGACGAAGACTTTATCCTCGACCGATTCAATCTGACGGGTCTCAACAATGAGGTGGCCAATTATGCACAGGCATTGGATCTTATAACGGACCAGCTAGGTGCGCCCGCTCTCTCATGGCGGTCGGAGGACTTGACGCTGAAATCGTGTGAATTGCAGACGATGAAGTGCAGGACGAGTTGCGGGGCTCGCTCGATGTCCAAGCGCGGCTGTTATATGGGTTGATTCATGCGAGGTGGATCGTGACGGCGCGAGGGTTGGCAAAGATGGTGCGTAGATTTCGAATTGTTCTTTCTACGTCGGGATTCGCGAAAATACGATGCGCGACCCTCTGTCCTGGACGTCGGGGGAAGTCTTGCATGCGTTTGCCAGCGAACCAATGCTCGGCCAGATATGCAAAAGAAATGGGAGAAACAGTCACAATGTTCTCTGGATATCTGACAAAGAGAAAGTCATTGGAAAGGCATGCAAAGAAGACACTCACCAAGGCAGGATGCCTTTGACTCTCCTTGTATTCCTTGATTGAGACGTCATTGTACATGTCTCTCGCATTTCTTCTGGATATCTTGCGGTCAGCTATCTGCTTATCCTCCTGTGCTTATACCAACCCGTCGCTCTTGATTCTCTCGCACTAGTCGCTAACACTTACCCAGGTCGAGAAATACAAACGCGGCGATTTCGGCCGCTGCCCCCGCGTCCTCTGTCAATCTCAATCCCTCCTCCCCGTGGGCCTCATCGACATCCCCTACGAAAAATCCGTCAAACTCTACTGCGGCCGCTGCGAAGACCTCTACTCCCCCAAATCCTCCCGCCACGGCTCCATCGACGGCGCGTACTTCGGCACCACCTTCCCCCACCTCCTCTTCCTCGTCTACCCCACGCTCATCCCCCCTAAGACGGGTCCGCCGCTCGACGGGCCTTCGTCTGCGAATAACAACAGCAATGCTAATAGTAGTGAGGGTGGGAGTAAGGTGCGGCAGCGGAGGGGGAGGGGCGAGGAGCTGTTGCCGGATGCTACGGGGACGGAGGGCGTTGGGGAGGGGATCAGTACGGCGAGTGTCGCGTTGAAGGCGGAGAGGTATAGGCCACGGATCTATGGGTTCCAGCTGCATGAGACAGCGAAGCTCCAGCGGTGGCAGGAGGCAACGCGGGATCGGTTAGTTTTGCTCTCCGCTTTCTTGCATTCCATGCTGACTGGAATATGATAGACAGGTGGCGAAGCTGGAAGATCTGGAGGCGCGGGCGTCGTGATACCGATTCCTATTTTAGATTGGTAGGTTTGTTTTGCGCGTTGTGTGTGTCTGTGTGTCCATCCGTACCCTGTATTTACTCGTTCTCTTCACTGCTATGATAATGGACGCTCAATTTCTTGATTGCCTTGAGCCAAACGAGACATTCTCCACTCTTCTTCAACATAGAACTGATACAGCCGAAGAGGAACGGCGTACCGACACGGGGAAACGGACAATCTTTATCATTTGCTCCAAAGCCCAGATCGCCGCTCGCAGGCAGAGTTATGGGGGGAAAACTCAATTACTTTAATTGGATTGAAAGGACCGACTGGTATACAAGGCATCGAGGATTAATGTTGTAATAAAAAGCTCTAGTTTGTCAAGGCTGCTTTCAGGAGGATCCTAGGATCTGCATTCCCGCACAGTCGGGCGACGGGCGATGTGAGGCGGTGATCATGCCGAGCTGTGCAGCGCCAAGATTTGTACCGCTTCCCTCACGTCCGACGGTCCAGTTACATATATAATCGGAAAACCATGGAACCCCGTACTTTTCCTCCTCACTTTCACCCCCTTCAACCCTTTCAAACCCTTTCTCCACTCTCCTTCACTTCGTTCATAGTGTTATGGGCTGCGACAAAATTCTCGGCGTAGCTTCCATCGCCGCCGCCTCCGTCCTCCTCGCTCTCGTCGCCTTTGACGTGCCCTACTTCAAATCCATCTACTTTCTCCGCATTGACCTCGCCGGCGCTGCTGCGTCTACGGCTTCTTCCAACCAGACCACCCCGTTCGTTGATCTGGGTGTACTAGGCTATTGCACAGACCTCAAGAATGGTTTGGGTCTGCAATGCTCGCCTGCGAAGATTGGGTATGACCTTGGCGGTTTGTTTCTCGCTTTTGTTGGTTGGCACACGACACTAATACTGTTTTTTTACTGAAACTGTAGAGGCATCTAAATACATCAACGGCTCCCTCCCCGCTGTCCTCACCAACAGCGTCAACGTCGCCGCCGCCGCCCTGACAAAGGCCCTCGTCCTGCACATCGTCGCCCTCGTCGTCTCCCTCATCGCCTTCGTCTTCGCACTCCTTGCCCTCCTCGGCATCCCCTTCATAGCCGAATGCTGCGCCGACTGCTTCTCCGGCTTCGCCGGCGCCACAGGGCTCACCGTATTCATCTTCGATCTCGCGTTCTTCTTCATCATCAAGAAGAGGGTGAACGCTGAAAGCGGGGTGAATAGCGCTGTCATGGGGAACGCGATTTGGCTGACGGTGGTGGCGATGTTGTTGCTGTTTGTGACGCCGATTATGTTCTTGCTTGGGAGGTGTTGTGGGTGTGCGACGAAGGTGGCGTATAAGCCGTTGAAGAGTTGAGCAGGTGGTGATAATTTGTGTTTTGTTGTTGCTGCCGTTGAACTTTTGTAGCCTGAGTACTATATCTTTATTTGAAGTGCCAAATCGGAGAGATGTGTGCCTTATATTGCTGGCGCCAGCTGCAGATGGGGCGGCGGGAGGGGAATACCTCGTCTTGGTCGCCACTTCGGAGAACATGCTACGACATCAAGCGGTGACCCTCCGAGGAGAGGGTAAAGGCCGAACGTCGTTTTTCCACCTCCTCCAAGCAAACTGACCTGAGCCAGTTGATTTTGAGATGGATCGAAGGGTCGAGTCTTGGCGCGAATCATGAGGAATACCCAGCTTTCAGGGTCAACTTGGGGTGTTTGCACAATTTTCAAGAAAATGCACCCATTGAGAAAGGCCCTGCGCTTGAATTCGAATTTCTGTGTTTGGCTCGAAAACAGACGCAGCCGCATAAGCACAAGTTGTTGTATAAACCGTTCTCCGAAGCAGAACGAATGCCTCCCAAATATCACCGAGCGCTGAAGACCTCCAAAGGTACGAGAAGAGCTCGAACTTGAAAGAGCGGCTACAAAGTCAAGGCGAAGAGGTCCGCGCGTCCAGAGGAACGTCGTATGAGAGTTGACGGTGTTGCAGTTACTTATACCGGGGTGCAAATCATTCGGGATGAAGATAAAACTTCATATGAGTGCAATTTGCCGTGAGTTCAACGTGAGTTTGTTGATTTAATGATTATGTGGTTTGGCGACTCGTGTCGTCATTTGCTGCTCCTCCTACAAGGCATTGCCTGCTTGCTCAGAGTCGGGCAGATTTGAAGGCAGTTAGAGTATAATCCACCTACAAAGAATGCAACTCGAGAACGATACGACCAAGAATGTCTGTTCTTACCTTTCCAATCTTGTGCTGGTTGGACCGCAGAAACAGTATCTACAGTCCGAGATATGAACGGCAATTTGTAGCAGCAGTACTGTAAAGGAAGGTCAGACCCATGAAAGCGCGAAGTCGATGTCTGCTTTACCCTCCTGACATCTGTGGCCCGTCTTCTCCACATCTACTCAACTAGAATTTGAGAGCATCAACACAAATGAGAATCCCTCGCAGCTCCCTCGAATGTTGGTAATAAAGCGACTTGGAATTATACGGGTTACAATGCGAATTACAGGGAGGATCTAGGGTAGCGCGCGGATTTAGTGAGAACAGTACAGTACAATGACACGGATGATAACATAGTGACCAACGATAACCAAGGTATGAGGGAGAGACAGACCACCATCGAGTACCAGGAGGACATCAGACTCATCACTGACATATCCGACATCCATCACCGCCCCGCAACCTCGTCACCATCCGCGAGCATCTCGCGCACAAGGAGGTCCGCCTTGCGCGTCTGGAGCAGCGTCTTCAAACGCAGTGCCAGCTCGGGCTTCGTACCAGCCGCAACGATGGAGGAGTTCTGCAGCGCATGAGCGGCGAGGTTGCGCTTGAGAGCGGCGGCGGAGAGTTCGGCGACAATGTCGGGGTTGTCGATGAGCGGAGGCTTGGGGTCGACGAGGTAGTGGGACTCGAGGTCTACAACACAGTCAGAGAATGGACGACGACATGAGAAAGAGGAACTTGCTCTTGACGTAGTGCTCACACGCCGA